AAAAAAAAAAAAAAAAAAGAGTTTTCTTGTATCTAAGCAGTGAGTCATATTCCATCTATCTGAAGCTGAAGTTTTATACATGTTGGACATATTAATTAAAGATATTTATGGGTTTCATTTTATAAGTTGGTTCGGTAAATTAAGTTTGAATCTATTTTTTTAAGATAGTGTTAAGTCATATCGATTGTTATATTGAGTTTATTAAATTATTTGTTATTAGGATGTTATTGAAATATATATATATATATATATATATATATATATATATATATAAAATTTTATAAATTTTATACTGTCCAATCATAAATATGAAAAGTGTAGAAATTTTATATCAACTAGAGATATGAATATATATAAATAAGAAATAGATCTCACTTATAAATTTTATAAAATTGAGTCAAAATTCAATTCACTCTTTAAAGAGTTATTATGTGAAAAAACTTGTATTTGAACCTAGGATTCCACTAAGGATTTCTCCCTATGCCTTCGTTGTCCAGGATTGACAAATTTTTGCCCGAGTTTTGATGTAGAAGTTTACCTTACTATAAGATCATTTTATATAACTTTGTGATCATACTGCTTAAGTGAAAAGTGACAAGGACATCCCCTTTCTAAAAACAAAATATCAAAATGAAATTTGGTTCAGACACAAATTATGCTAAGTTAAATTTACCTTTTGTCATGAATACATTGATTAGTAACAATGTCACAATGATGGTCAGTAATCATTATACTAATATGTTGACCATCAAACTTAGTTTGTTAGTACTTTAGAAAAAGGATCAATTGTACTTTTTAACCCAACATTCTCAATCACAATTGCATTTTCTTTTTATTTTGGAAAATAATTTATGAACACTCGGTGTTAATTGACACCTACAATCAAAAAATAAAGAAAAATATATAGATAAAATTGATGATATATGATTGAAAGAAAGATATTAAAAAAATAGAATAAATAATAAAAAAATTATAATATGTTGTATCTATTTATCAATATTTTTAAAATTGGACTGATCATCGAATTGAGATTGAGGTATTAATTCAAGGTTCAATAATTTAATCGTAGTTGAATTAATATTAATATAATAATAATAATAATTTTTTGAAAAAAAATAAGAAATTAGTCATGCAAAGGATGACTTACTTAATAATAATAATGCTTAAATAATATTATTTAAATTATACATAAAATAGTTATACTAACAACATACATAGACATTTCGGTAGCTTACTCCTACTAGAAAAATGGAAATTAGAGACAAAAAGAATCCGTCACAAAATTAAAGAAAATCCGTCACAAAATTAATAGTGACGGAATTTGTAACAACCCATTTTTTGTGGGCCTTTGGCCCAATTCGTGGCCCAGAACGGGCCGTTTCAATTTTGAAACGGGCCGTTCTGGAATAGTGAGTATGGCCAAATTGTAGAAGCAGAACGGGCCGTTCTGATGGGAGAACGGGTCATTTTGGTTTGGAGAACGGGTCGTTCTAGAAGCAGAATGGGTCGTTCTGCTGGGGTTGAGAACGGACCGTTCTAGTTTGGGAACGGGCCGTTCCAGTTGAAAAATTTATGTAGGTTTGAAGGGCCCAGAACGGGCCGTTCCGATTTTGGAACGAGTCGTAGTGGTAGGTGGGCGAAAAATCCTATAAATAGGCCTCAAATCCTCTCATTTCTACACACCTCTCATTCTCACTCTCTCTTCTCTTCTGTTCTCTCTTTCGTTCCTCTTCTTCTCTCTGAAGACCAAGAGGAACTTAGAGAATGAGGTTCTGCTCCAGTTTTAGTTCCGATCCTTGTTTAAGGAAAAAGAGGAGGAGGTTCTGCCCGAGTTCCTATTTATCCAGGTACGGGAGAAAAGGAGATTATTTATATGTAGAGTTACATGAGGGAATTGGGTAGAGGAAGAGCCCTTAGGGTTATGAATAATTTTATAATTATTTCTGTTTGGAGGATTAATTATCTTATGTGATTCTATATATATTTAGGATTACGAATATATGTTTAACTTGTAAAAATGATGCTCTAGGAGAGA